ATTTACTTATTTTATGCATACAGAACTGGGGTACAGGCCAGAGGTGCAGGGGCAGTGAGAGCATGTACCAGAGACAGAGTGGGGAGCAGAACAGGCAGATCTACGAAGTACACTGCTGAGGGGAGCATCGGGCAGGACAGAAGAGGTCTGCCCCACCATGTGGGTCACCTCCAGGGCAGGGATCGAACTCATGCTGAAGTGGCTTTAGCTTCTTAGTGCTATCAGGGAGGGCCCAAAGGCAACTTTTTAATGGTGTTGAAGCTCATGAAGTTTTAATCACTGAAGAAGTATTTATGAGGTGTCTATTGGCAGCGAGATTGTAAAGGTGTAATGGGGATTCAGAATAAGTGCATGATTTTGTCACTGGATTCAATGAGTGCCAGTCTTAGGCTATAAATCTCAAACAGCTGAGCATTGAAAACATACATTTGATCAAACCTACTAAAGATTAAAAAATGATAAATTGAAGATAAAATATTAGAAATGCTCATGCTCAAATGGCGATAATGAGTAGGTTTTTTTTTTTTTTTAAGATTTATTTATTTGTGCATACAGAACTGGGGTACAGGCCAGAGGCTCAGGGGCGGTGAGAGGCTTCACCAGAGACAGAGTGGGGAACAGAACAGGCAGATCGACGAAGTGCACTGCTGAGGGGAGCAGCGGGCGGGTCAGGAGAGGTCTGCCACACCATGTGGTCACCTCCGGGGCAGGCGGGAATTGAACTCATGCGGAAGCGGCTTTAGATTATCAGTGCAGTGCTTTAACCCGCTGCGCCACCAGGGAGGGCCTGATAATGAGTAGGTTTTAACTATTTTAAGAAATAGATCTCAACAGGGAATTTTGAAGTCTGCTAAAATAATAAAATAATCTGGAAAGAAGACATTGTGTGAAGAATTACAAGACAAATACCTGATGGTTTCACTTACATTTGGAATATAAGAAACCAAAGGTCAGATAAAGCCTAACTAAAATAATAGAATGTTAACTTTACAGCTAAGGCATTGGAGGGGGAGTGGGAAAGAGAGGGGTAAGGTGCAAACAAGAAGGGAACATAATGGATTATGATGTGAACAGTGGGTTGTATTTGGAGCACTATGTAACAATGGCTGAAAAGAGGATCTTACACTTCCCAAATAAAAATAACAATATAAAAAAAATGCTACCTCAACAAAATAATAATAATAAGAAGAAAATACAAGAATTACAAAAGAGCAAGAACAGTTAAATTCTACATTCTGGTTGGTTGCTAATCTAAACCTCTCATTTTGGTTGACATTAGTCTTTTCAATTTGTTACAAACAAAATAGCACAGATTCAGTGACCCAAACAAGAAAAATTAATGTCTCACATTTCTGATACCTGGAAGGAGAAGATCAAGTCACCCACATATTCAATTTCAAGTGGCATCCTCTTTCTGGCCCATACCAGTGTCTCTGTGTCTTTCAACAGCAGTAGCAAAGGAACTCTGTGGGGTCACCTCATTCACTTTCATAAGCTAGTCACCATGCTCAGGCAATCCTATTCTACACATTAGGCATTAGGATGTCAACAGTTGGATTGGTGGGGCACACAGACATTCACATCATAATAACTGGTAACTTTAATCTTAACATCAGCATATCCCAGCTTTTGTTTTACATGCAAAATAGTCATACATATTAAATTGGTTGTTTGAAGGATGCAATTTGATCATTTAAACTATTTCACACACTTGACGTATTTAAGTACCAAAATATTCAGATTTATTTGAACTGCATTAAAAAGATTCATGCTTATCCAAAGTGAGTAGAAAATATTATAGAAGTCTTGCTACTCAAAAAAAAAAAAAAGCTGTCTGAAACGATGATTATTAATTTGTATATTGAATTGGCTGGAAGGTATTGCTTCCATTTAAAAAAACAGATTTAAAAAAGCATGAACAAAGACACATAGATCAGAAAAGATCAGAGCAGCATAGGGACTATTTTAACACAAAGTGATTTTATGATCCAGAATATTCCAGGTAGCAAAAAAGTACTTCAAATATTTGCAAAATCATTGGGTGAGGAATCTTGATTGTAGTAGATGGGAAGGACCATAACTCTCAAAATTTAGAACATTACATTATTCAAAAAGACTCCAAATCTATTAAGAATCATTTCCCATAACCCCATCCCTTCATCTCCTGGTATACACTGATCTATCCTCTATTTTAAGGATTTAATCATTTTATAAATTACATACAAATAGACTTATGCAATTTGTAACTTTTATGTCTGACTTCTTTCATTTAATATAGTGCTTTCAAGTTAATCCATGTTGTTATATATATATATATATATATATATATATATATATATATATATATATATATGCACTCTCTTTCATTGACAAATAATATTCACAGTATATAAATATACCATGTGGTGTTGACCTAAATCTATTGACCTAAATCTGTTGACTCCAATAGTCATTGGAGTTATTTTTACTTTTTGATTATTATGTGTAATGCTGCTGTGACTTTCACATACAGTTTGTGTGCAGGCAGATTTCTTTTTCTTGTTTTTATTTTCTTGTGATTATTGCCAGGAATAAAATTACTAGGTAAATGTGATTATTTAACTTCTTGAGCAATTGCCACTTGCATTACAGAGTGGATGCACCACTTAGTATACTCATCAGCAAGGTTTTGAAGGTTCCAATTTCCCACATCCTCTCCAGCAGTTGTTTTACTTCCCTTTTAAAATTCATTATTATTTTAGTCATGCTACTAGGTGTAAAAATGGCATCTCATTATGGTTTGCTTTTCCCTAATGACTAAAATACTGAGCATCTTTTAATGAACTATTGCCTACTTATAAGTCTTTTTGAAAGCTATCTATTCAATTATTTTTCTATTATTTTAATTGGATTAGTTGTTGATTCCTTATTCTACTTTAATAGCTCTTTATTCTGGATATAAAACTCTTACCAGATAAATGATTTGCCAGTGTTTTCTCCCACTTTTGGGGTATCTTTTCATTTTACTATAGTGTCCTAGGTAAGTGAATTTTCTTAATTTTGAAGAAGCATTATCTATATAATTTCCTTGGTGGTTATGTGTGGCCACTAAAATCTTTGCTCAATTATGTTAGTTGTAAGCTAGTGATTGGACAGAAATGTAATTAAAGGTCTTGAGTCATTAAGTTTTCCAGACCATGCTGTGTTCTATTTCTGTTTATGCCTTGCACTGAATGAATGCTCTTGCAGCTAAAATCTGTCCCAGTCTTCACTCCATGCTTGTGCAGAGACGCAAGGTCAGCCAGAGAGGAGATATTAGGGATTCTCACCCTTTTCACAAAATATAAAGAAAATGTAACTTAGGGGGACATGTATACAGACTATATACATTTGTATTGTTTACTAGATACCCAGGAATTTGCAGAGTTTTTAAATCCCATCATGGACATCCTGGTTACTTGATTTTCCTTTATTTTTTTATGATTTTTTTTTCCATTTAACTTTTTTTTTTTTTTTTTTTTTTTTT